AATCAATTTATAATGAGAGATTATACTAAATTGTTTATTGTTTAACAGGTTAAAAGTTAGATTCATTATTCAATTAAAAACTTTTATTTGTTTCAAGATAACTTTAAAGCTTTATAAGTTAACTGAATTGAAAATTTTGTAGATATTAAAGAAGGTGTTTCATATTTATTTGTTCAGGTTATTGATTGTTTCTATTTTACTTGAAATTATTGAAATCAGCTCTATAATACTTTGGTTTTTGAGTTCAAAATAGTTGACATTTGAAAATAAGTTGGTTTTATAAATAATTTTTATTAATCTTAATATAAAAGTTCTTATTAATTTTTTTAGAAGGCTTATATACTATAAATATAAAATAAAAAATTAATAAAAAATACAACAAATATTATATATACTTAATAATAATATCTTGTTTTCCAATAAATATAAATATAGTTAAACACAATTATTAATAATAAATAATTAATAATATTTTCATTATTCTTTTATAAATAAATATTGTTATAAAAAAGGAAACACAAAAGTAAAAGGAAAAATGAATAAATATAAAAGTCTGAGAAGTTTCAACCTAACTATTAGGTCCAACTACAATCTAGAAAACATGTTCAAGGAGAGAAACAATACAACAAATAGAGAAACTATATCTTATTTAATTCAAAAAGCCAACAAAAAACAATAAGAAAAAACCAAAACTAAAGAATATTTTGAATTTTAATATTATTTCCAAAGGTTACAGCTTAACAACAACAAGCAATAACAATAATACTAAACAACAAAATAAGTAATAAAAATATATAAAGTCAAATAATAGAAGAAAAACTTAATAAGATATCTATTATTACAAAAATTCATATAAGAGTAGAAGTATAAGAAAAGATATAGCAAATCAATGAACAACAAATTTTAAAAAAACATCAAACATTTTTTCTAAAAAAAACTGTTGACATTAACAACAGTAATAAAAACATATATGTATTAGATCAAGACAATCAAAATACCAAAGAAAAAAAACAAATGACAAATAATTAGTAAAGGAAAAGAAAAAATAAAAAGAAATAGCAATAAGCCCAGACTTACTTTTTCTTTAATTATATGACAATATATAACAAATAAAGAAGCAAAATTAAAATTTTAGCTGTAGAAGTTTCAAAAAATATATTTTGATATAAAAATACAGTATATTATTAAAGCTATAGAAATATCCAAAGGTTTTCTTGCAATTTGCAAGAAAGAAAGAAAAGAAGAAGAGTCAATAATAGCTATTTTTGGAAATTAACAAGTTATAAAACAGGCATATATAATTAATTTATTTAATTTGAATAACAAGTATATAAAAATCCTAATGATTTTATATTTGATATCATTTGATTCTAGCTCTTATAGTAAATTTAATAGTTAATTATAATCTACAGAGGCCTATCATATTATTGTGAACACTTTTATTTTTTAAATAATAAAAAATTTTATTAATAAATAAATTTTAAAAATTTAATGATATACAGTATTTATATAATATTAAGATATAATCTATTTAAATTTCATGCAATTTTATTTATTTGTTCAAATTTTATAAAAAAAAAACTCTAATCTAACTTTTTCTATCAAACTGAAATTGGAGAGATTTTTTTTTTGCTTTTTTTTTTTGCTTTTAGTATTTTGTAGGTTCTCCTTTAACCACAATATAGGCAGTAATCTGATTTGGCATGCTTTTAATAAGATTATAACAATATTTGAGTGATATCTCCCGCCACGCCTGTTGTACAAGAACATCAAGATCATTAAGATTATTTGGTTTTGACTTATAATGTATGAATTTCTTAACTTCATTCCAAAGGTTCTCTATTGGGTTCAGATCTGGACTCTGTGAAGGCCAATCCATTACTCTAATATTTTTATTTTTTATGAATTCCTTTACAATTTTAGTAGTGTGTGATTTTGCGTTGTCCTGTTGAAATAGTAAGTAACCACGATTTTCATTTTCTGGAAATTTTTTTATAGCAGGTAAGATATTCTTACAGAGAATTTTGACATGTGAAATACTGGTGGTAGAGGACTTTAATGGAATAAGGAGTCCAACTCCATACCAAGAGAAGCAACTCCAGTATATACAACCAGGGCTATGTTTAATAATGTAACTTAAATACTCAATATTTCATTTCTTGTGTGGCTCATGCCAAACCTGACAAGAACATTCTTAAAAAAGATAAATTGTAATCTTATCTGATTACAAAAGACGTTGAAAGTACCGAACAGACCAGTTTTTATAGGCAAAAGACCAGTTAAACCTTTTGATTGCATTTTATGAAGAGATCAACAGCTTAGAACAAGCAATACAGGAATTTAAACTGTTTTTATGCAGTGCATGATGGATAATGCATTTTGAGATACTAATTCCTTCCTGAGCAATAAAAAGGTTAGTAATCTGAGAAAGGTTTAAATGGCAATTTTCATTAATAACTAGATTCTTAAGTTTAGAATAGTCAAAAGAAGTAAGCAATTTTGGACATCTAGGCATTTATTTTTTTTTTGTGATTCTATAGTACCTGTCTCATAAAACTCTTTAATAATATTTCCTATGACAGATTTTTCGCAACCCACCAGAGCTGCAATAGTACAAAGTGAATTCTTTCTAAGGTATCCAAAAATAATGGCACCTCTTTGTTCAGCTGTCAGATCTTTATTGCTATTCATTACTCTAAAAAAAAAAAAGAATGACATCGTCGATTTTGTACTTATATACTTATTTATTATTTATTTGATATGATTTTAAACATGATTTTATTAAATAAAATTATAAACAATAACAGTATAAAAATAAATAAATAATAAATAAAATAAATAAAAATAATAAAAATAATAAAATAATAATAATTAAAATAATAAAAAAATCAAATTTTGATCTTTGGTTTAAAAGAAAAAAATTAAGTTGAAGTTTTTATAACATAAAATTCGAATAAATAAATAAAATTTCATGAAATTTAAATGGATTATATCTTAATATTATATAAATATATTGTTAGCATAATAATTACATGGGTGGGAAAGAGGCATGACAGAACAGGGGATAAGGGTATGGGGTTGGGTACCAGGTCTGGCGCAGCACAGGGTCAGATGCATCAGATTATGCATCAGTGGAGGGCTAAAAGTATGTGAAAGCTTGTTGTAAAACTTGCAGGATGTGATGATTGATTTAAGGATGCGTCACAAGCAATATAAATAGCTGTAGAGTAGAATCAAAATGTAATAATTGACAATTGCTTAATAAAGAAGTCCCTGTTTAATTGATTATTCTGAAAAAATATTAAACAATAATTTTCTAAGATATTCTTATTCTAAGCAATAATTTCCTAAGGTATTCTTGTTCTAAGCAATAATTTCTTATGAGTATAAAACTTGTTATAAGTATCTTGACCATTTTTGGTTAGCAATAAAATAGTGAAAATTAAATAGTTTGCCTAGTTACAAGTGATGGTAAAGGATTTATTCTAATGGACTAAAATTAATATTGAAGAGTTTTTATTTACCAAAACAAACTTTTCAAATATTTTTTTCTATTCCTTTTTTTTTCTTAAAAAAAAATTTTTTTTTATTTCTTAGAATCACAGATTCATATTGGAATAACAGTTTGAATGTAGACTGACTAAAAATTTTTAGGCATAGTCTTTGATATCTAGTCTTAAAAAAGAGCAATTTCTATTATTTCTTACAATTATATCTAGAGAATTAAAATTTAAAAAGTTTAAGATAGTTAATATCATATAGTAATAGCTTAATGAACCTACTCCCTTATAGTAAAATAGTTAGTAAATAGCTAAATCATGTAGGCAATACAGTGGTCTTGATATTAAGAATTTAAGAATCATATACAAATCTAAACTCATTAATAAGTGTTTTGCAAAATTGTATTAGTTTAGTTTTAATATAATATCATATATATTGTATTACTGTTCTTCAAAAATTGAATTAATAAATACTTTCATTTGCAGTCTGGTTAGAGACAAAAAAAAAAGATATATTAAATATTAATAAAAAAACTAATATATAAATAATTTAATTTAAATAAAGATATAAATTATATATTTAAAAAAATTAATTAATAAACAAGTTAAATTATTATTATTATAATTATTATTTTTAGTAAATAAATATTATTTTTTCATTTAGATTATATAATAAAAATTATATATTAAATATCTCTTATATATATTATATATATAATAAATTTAATACTAACTTGTTTATTAATAGTAAAATAATATAACATTAACTTTATCAAAATACTAATGAAATGTGATGTTTGATATAATAACTAATAACTTATGTTAATAAAATATCTCGTATCTAATGCTGTTTACAATCTAAAAAAAATACTAACTTGTTTATAAAATCAATTAATTGATAATAAAAATAAATTTTAAAACAATATATTTTATTAAGTAAAATAAATAAAATAAATTTATAAGTTTTATTACTTATATTTATTTTAATATATATATAATATTTCTTAATTATATAATACTTTAAAAACTTATTAAAAGTAATTACTTGTTAATTAAACTTTATTAAATATTCAATCAGTTATCTATTAATTTTCTATTATATTTTGGCTATATATATGTTACTTTTACTTTTAATACTATCTTCTAGTATTTAGTATACTATTTATATTTGATCTATCTAATATCCCTTTTTTATTTACTTTTATTTATTTTTATTGCCATTTTATCCCTTAACAATATATAATAATAAAAAATGAAGTAATTTTTTTAAATAATTAACAGAAATAGAATAAATTTTTAAATTTTTAAAATAATTTTTTTTTGCAATTTTTTCTTTACACATCATATATACTGTAATATATATATGCATTTTTTATAATTACATTTGTTTTATCTTAAAATATAATAAAAATATAAATTTAATTGATTTTTTTCATCACACTGTATACATGAAAGAAATGAAAATAACCGCATAATTTTGATCCCAATAAGATATTCAATTCATTCCTCTTTTTGGTGTTCAGGCTTATGACTAGTTTCATAATCAACATGTACAAATGCTCTTTCCACATTCTCCAATTTCTCCAATTTAATTTGAAGACTTTCACCGATATCGTGACTTTCCCAAAGTGGAGTATTTTTGTCCATGACAATGTCTACTTCTACAAAAAGGTTGTTACCTGCATGATAAGCTCGGCATGTATCAACTTGAAGAACTTTAGGGTGATGTGTCATCGCTATATTGAAAAATAAAGTTCGATATAAATATATACACATGTAAAATGGGCAATTTAAGAAAGAATGAACATCGCAAAAATACCAATATATGTCGCTCTCCGCAAGAAAGTTGTGTCAGCACTTTTTCCAACAATCAACTTGATTTGCTCTAAAAGTTATCATTATTTTAATTTTTGTTGGCCACAAAAGGTGTATAGAAGAATGAACACTTACCGTAGGCAGTGATTCCCCAACTTCTTAAGATGCACAGAGCGATTAGAATAGCACCAGCAGGATCTATCCACCATACTATACGTGCACTAAGTAAATACATTATAAGGCCAAACGTATTGATAACTATATCATTTCTATGATCTTGTGCAAGAATGCGTGCAGAAGGAAATTGACGTTGACTCCAGCAATAAAACAGCAATATCGACTTGGAAACTACATTATAAATAAATAACTATGGAATCAATAATGCCGCAAAGCGAATATAAAAATAAATAGCATGCATCTGACTACCTATCGCGACCAAAATACATATTATTGAAAGTATATGAACTTCCGCATCATGACCTTTGTTAATCAAGGTCTTAATAGCCTCTATCTAAAAGTAAAAATCAATTAGATCTCTTTTCCGTTTTTCCAAAACAAAATGAATGAATTGTAGCATACAATAAGTTGAATTGACAATGTTGACATTAACGTCGAAAAAACGATACTACCCGCCGTTTCCATGCGCGCCATACCCTAATAAGATAATTGAACACTTAAATAAGTATAGAATTAGTTCTAAAAGGAATCTGACGTTACTTACAGTAGGATATTTTATCAAATTTTTACCATGGGATACCCTTCCCGTAACAAATAGGATGCCATTTGACAATAAATCCATAAAAGAATCGGCCATTGTTGCAAAGAGAGAAAGTGATCCAGATGAAATTGCAGAAAATAGTTGTAGCCCAAATAAAAAAATGTTCACAACTAATGAACCATTAACGGCAATCTTCGCCTTCGACAAGGAAATAGTCTAATTAGCTTGCCATTAAAAATCCAAGTAAAATAAAAACATTAAAATCTTACCCTCAGCAAATTATTGGCCAATTCCTTCAGGGTTAGTTTTTTATCAATTGGACTTAGTAGTTCGTCTATAAGATCATTTTGATCTCTATAGAATTCCTGGATTTTTTTATTCTTCAATTTTATCTCGTCCTCCGACTTACGTTTTGGTTCCAAATAAAATGGGTCCCGTTCTGTATAATAATCCGAGATAAATTGAGGAGGATCTATAGTTGAGGGTCCAACATTGCGAAGGGATAAACTAGTTTCTGAGCCGTGAACTGAACTAGACATTGCTTTAAACGATGTTATAGGTGACTCCATGGTAGTTGACATTATTACATCGTCATTTACTGTAGAATTTAATTCGGATCGCGTGTTCATAAAGGTATCCATTAGTTGTAGGAAAAAGAGTTAAACGTTAGCATCAAACCGTTATATGTATTGTAACGTTCGATTACTTGTTCAGGTGATGTTTTCTACTGATCCATTTGTTGCTATACTAAATTAAGCACCATGTCGCGATTTCATATAAATATTTTCCAGCTCATGTTATATCATATTTGACCAATAAATG